CAAAATTTTTAAAAAAAAAAAAAAACATTTAAAAAAAAAAAAAAAAAAAAAAATCTTAAAAACAACAAAAAAAATTAAGATGAGTCTATTTTTTTTATTTTTTTTTTTGGGTTGAAACTTTTTTTTTTGGTTGAGTCTATTTTTACGGAGCCTTTCAGCATGTATAACAAATCTAACTCCATACATTGGTCGCTGTGTGTAAAAGGTGGGGGGCGGGGGGGGGGCTAAAGTAAGAGAAGGAAGTGAGGAGGAGGGACCAGAAGCAGATCGGCGGTGTGAGCGGACACTCCAGACTCGGGGACGATTCCAGCGCCGAGGAAGTTGGAGGCTCTCGTTGCTGCCTCGGGTTCTTCCTTCAGAGCAGTAATGCGCACTCAGGGGCGCCGGATTTCTGAAACCTCGCTCCGTGTCTCCCGCTCAGAAACGCACCGTGAGAGGTCCAGAGGAGTCACGCACCTCTGCGGCCAGCGACGACACAGGTAGTGGGAAAGAAAAAAAAAAAAAAGTTTCCCGGAAGAACCAGTTCTGCAGGTTTATTTCTCTAGATCTGATTTCAAAGCGAGAGAGGACACACATGCACTTGCTTACTCTTTTGAGCAAGTAGATATTTTTTAAGTTGTTTTTTCTTTTTAAATTTAAAATTTTATTATTATTTTTTTTTTAATGGAAAAGAAGAAGATGTCAGATTTTATGAAGAAGTGGCTGTGCGTGGCGATGGACGTGGTGTGCGTTCTGCTCGGTAAGTTATGAAAAAAACTTTTTAACAACACGTCACTCTGGTCTCCGCTGATTTTATCTGAGGTTTGGATTTCAGTGCTGTCAACAAATATTCATCTGCCAGACAGAGCTCTTTACTCTGATTGCAGATTCTTTCTACAAATTCAGTTTCTGAACACGTAACAGAAGCAGCGACTTTTTCAACTGGTGTTGGTAAATTGGCCAAATAAAAGTACTTCTGTGAACGACGTGAGTTAATTCTTGCAGATCTGTGCTGGACGTGGTTCAGGCAGCATGTAATAAAAAAATAAATAAAAATAAAAAAACGCCCCCAAAACGTTAAAGAGCTGCATGAACTTCAATGTTTATTTATGGAAATTTGATATGCATGTGTGCGCACCGCGTACTCCTCATTTGCCTAAATATTTTGTCTGCCAAGAATCGTCCAAAGAATGCTGTACCAATTAGTAGTCGGTTTTTTTTTTTTTTTTTTTTTTTTTTTTTGCTTCCGCTGACCCCCCCACTATGGTTTTTTTTTTT